TTTGCCACTTTCTGAAGCAGCTCTGGAGTCCTCCTTCCTGAGGGTCTTTATGAAGCGGGAAGACATTGCGTGAAGGCTGCTGCAGAGCCCTATTCAAGCTGCATCCTCACTGAGCTTCGTTGCTAGAAGAAGAGATGCATAAAAAGATTAAGATCATCTGAGTGACTGAAGTGCATGCTGATGAAAGAGTGTAGCACCATGTGTCAGCTGTGTGTGTGCACATACCCGTGCATGCCTGTGTGCACATGTGTGCAAAGACACCACACTTTATCTCAGCAGGGCACCTGGTCCCAAATGCAACGAGGGCATTGCACCCACAGGGAAAGAGAAGGTTCTAGGCAAGGAAAAGGAAATGAAATTCAAAGCCCTAAAGCCTAGCAAGCAGGGGAAGCAGTATGTATTTGGAGCTAGACAGGTGTCAGATCCTGCAGGGGTGGTGGAATTCTCCAAGACAAAAATATTAACCTTACAGAGACCTCGGTGTTTCAGTACATGTGTGTGGGGTGAAGAGTGCAGATGGCCCCCTCACTTTTATTTTTATCTTCATGTACAAAGTGAGGAGAGTTAGTGATCTAGGAAATGTATGCAGGCACCCAGGCTGCATGAAGCAAAACAAGTTCCCCATTGACCCCTCTGTGCCGAAGACATTTGATGTGAAGCATCCAGTAGATGAAGGATTCTCAGACACAACTCAGAACCTGAAGGCTACATCGATGCCCCTGAACCCGAGGAGTGGAGGAACTGATTTGGGGGGACAGCAGGGAACGACAACACTACTAGAGTATGCTATTTAATGGCTGCCCCATGAAATGATGCTCAGTAAAAAGAGTCAAGTATTTTCCAGTGGTATCTGTATGTTATTATTTACTTTCCCAAATGTTTCTTCTTCAGGGGAAAAAACAACATTTCCTATTACCCAGATGTATTGTAATTTTAAGAGATGCGTACTATGTTACCTTCCTGTAATAATCCTTACAAGGAAAGCTGATCTTTTATTTTTTGAAAAATTCACTGCAAAGGATAATAATCACCTCAACAATACAGCTATCTGTGGATGCCAATCAAAAGTGGCCATTAAGACTGTGAACATTAGTTATATAGCCAGCGGTGTTCACTGTTATTAGGAAAGCTACACGGCCCCATCATGAAGAAAGCCATCGGTGGAGAGAGACACAAGACTGGACAGTATACCACCTCTGGAAAGCTATGGGAAGGGCCCTGTCCTCATCTGTATCCAGTGGTTTAAAAAAATAGAGCGATTTGCATTTTACTATATTAGATGTCCAAGAGATACCTCACTCAAACAGGCCACAGCTGAGGGGTGGTGCTCACCAGCACTGCCACACCCTGCGAGGCTGAGGCAGGAGCTCTGCTAGTTGAAGCACAGCCAAAGCAAAATAATAAGACCCTGTCCCTAAATAAATAGTTAAGTAATAATGGGTAGAGATGTATACCTGTATGAAAGCCTTGCATTCAATCCCCAGTAATAATGCACATCGTCTGTCTGTCTGTCTGTCTGTCTGTCTGTCTGTCTGTCTGTCTGTCTATCTATCTATCTATCTATCTATCTATCTATCTATCGTTCTTTTCTGTCTGTGGGTTTAAAATTCCTTTGGACGTTTGGTTCCTGCTGAGGAGGAGCACATGCATTTTACAGGAGTAAATACTGCTCCTCTGTGCGGCCTATGGCCTTTCAAACATGTTCTTGTTTTTTATCTTTAAAGTTATGTCAGCACTGGCCAAATAGCTCAGTGGATTAAAGTGCCTGCAAGCAGGGGCTGGGGGTTTGATCCCCTGGCCTGACATGCTGGTCCTGCCCCTGGGGTGTGCTGACATGGGGATTGAGACTGGGTGTGGTGGTGCGCCTGCAATCCCAGCTCTTGGGAGGCTGTAAACAGGTGGATCACTACTAGTCCGATCTAGTAGTAAGACCCTGAACACCCTGTAAACCCTTCCCTAAAAAATACACTAAAGAAAGACAGAAAGTTACGTCTATTTTTTAATATATCTTAGGAAGCAAACATGCAAAGAAAACTGTGCAAGGTGGTCACTCAATGTTCTTTTCCTTTCCTTCCTCCACAGCTGGCCACATCCAGATCACATGAAGCTCACAGAGGTGAGTCCGGGTTCCAAAATACCAACAGGGCTCATCTTTGGTGAGAGTTGTCTCTAGTTGCCCATGCAAAAGAACAGAATCTGGCTTCAGACCCACCAGGCACCCGCAGGTGACTTCCAGTTCCGTTTCTGCAGGGTGTTTACTGGAAGATGCGGGAGATCACTGTCATTTTCAGCTCTCTTTCGTTGGGCTTTGTCTTTTTCAACACATGATCATCTTTCTTGGAGTAGCAATTACAAGCCTTACTTGAAAGAGTGAATCTTTAACTTCTATTACTTGCATTTTGCGAGGAGACCGCTGTTACTGTCCTCTACTTTAAGCCTCCTTTCTAAGCTGAACAGGATTTCACCTACACAGCCACAGCCGCAAGTCGACGTGAAATTCACCCAGGAACTTCAGATGTGTTCCCTGCTGGCATCGGAAATGGTAGGTGCCCTCAGACTCTGAGCGGTGCAGATTGCAGCTGAGCCCAAATCTCTCTCTCTTTCTCTCTCTCTCTCTCTCTCTCTCTCTCTCTCTCCTCCCCTCCCCCTCTCTCCACTCCCTCTCTGAAGCGTGGATTTGTCACACGTGCTGGGGGAGGGGAGCGCGGTTTCACTGCTGGCTCCTCCCCGTCTCCCGGGTGTCCCCACAGCCTGGAAATGTGTGAGATAAGAAAGAATTCAGAGCTCTCCCCGCGCGAGCGAAGAAGGATTTCACACACTGTCTGGGTTTTATGTCTTCAGTCTTTAGATCACCCAATGTGAAAGACTGCAAATTCTTTCCCTTTCCACGGCTCTAAATAAAATCTAAATCAAATCCCAGAATGACGAAGATTTACATTGGCTTCAAGTGTTTTTATTTAGGATGAATCCGAAAGGGAATGAAATACAGCGCTGGTAATTTATTTTTATTTTTCCTTTAATTTTTGGCAAATGAATAGCTGTGAAAACGTGGTACCGTTTTCAATTCAAGTGCTGAAGAAAACAATGGAAAAGTGAAGAAGAAAGGTAGTGCTGTTCGCAGAGGGTACCTGGAGAGAAGTGGGTTTGGGTAATGCTCCCCGCTCCCAGCAGCGGGCTTTTCCTTTGCACACTCTCGGGGTGAGGAGGATGGCAGGAGCCGCTCCAGGTCGCCAGCTCCCAGAGCTAGGCAGGGGCACCGGGAAGAGAGGGGTGGCCACAGACCTTACTTGGGGAGCGGTGGTTTTGTTTTCCTTGTCCCAGAATAGACTCACAGGTAATGAGGACCAAGAAGACTTAAAGAACATCGAGTTTCTCAGTAGCACAGCCAGCTCGACAGGGTAGGGGCTGCACCCGGCCCTGCAGCCTCGCAGCACAGCCACAGCCCAGCCCACCTTTGTTCAGCCCTCCTCTTCAGCGCGCTGGTCCGAAAGCGTTGGGCTGCAAACTCAAATGCACCTTTCTTTAGCTTTGCTTTCTGTTGTTGAACTAAAATAGCAAGTGACCTAGAAGGCTAGCGAAGCTCGCAGTTGCGAGATTTCAGGAGGAGACTGCTGCACAGGGCGTTGGTGACCCACGAAGGGGGAAGGGACAAAGGGGAAAGGAGGACGAGGAAAGGGGCAGGGAGCAGGGGAAGGGGGAGGAGAGCTTGGAGCCGCGTAGAGGGACGCGCCGGGTGGGGGTGGGGTTCCGAAGTTCAGGATCCCTCTCTGTCCAGATCAGAGCCGCGAACCCAGCTACGGCCGAACCCCCAGACCGTTACTCTGGGCGGGGCGCACGGCGGGCGTGGTGCAGCCAGAGCGCACGATGTCTCCAAACGCGCGCGCTTTGGGAAGGCAAAGAGACAGAGAAACGGGACTAACAAAACCAAAAACTAAAATAATAATAATAATAATAATAATAATAATAATAATAATAATACAAACGGGGTAAAGGAGCCCACAGGCTTTACAGCTTTGCAAATGGATTTCTTTTCCTACCTTAGAAAAAGAAAGGAAAAAAGCACCCACGTGCCCGCTGAAGGCGGCTGTGTTAAAGCGCCACCTTCCGCCTGCCCGTAGCGCAACGTTCTGGGCGCGCAGGAAGCAAACGAACTCCCGGGGAGCAGTCAAGCCCACCCGGGCCGGGATGGGTAACGCGGAACATCGCTCTCGGGATTTCCTGTGCCCTGGTCTGGCCCAGGTCCGAGTGTGCATCTTGGAAAGGGGACCAGGAGTCACCCCGGCTGCCAGCGAGGAGTCTCCGGGCCACAAAGGGGTGCTGAACCTCCTCGGGGAGCTGGTCTTCTTATTGGCACCGGTACCAGCCTGAATCTCCCGAGGTCCGGTGCTGGGCGCCGCTCTCGAGCATCCCAGCGAGAGGCGCATCTGTGCGCACACGCGGATTTTTAAAAATAACACATTTCTAGACATTGCCTCCTCCCAACCCCCTCCCCGCCCCCATCTTTGCAAAGCAGCCCAGGGGGTGGGGCGTATGGGCGGGGCGATGGGAGGGCTCTGTGGGTTAATAAAGGAAGGTAGGCGGGGCCGACGGTGTGCCATTGGCTGGCCGTGGGAGTGACGTCACCCATATGACACCCTGATAACGAGTTGAGAGAGAGCCCGCAACTTTTTGCAGAAGCAGCGCGCGCGCCTGGAAGTGCATTGCACGGGTCCGGCGCTTGGAGCCACGAGCCGGAGAGGGAGAAAGAGACAGAGGGGTCCTGGGCTGTCTCTACCGCCCCACCGCTGTCGTCGTCACCATCGCCGCCTTCGCCTCCTCTCCGGTCGTGGTCGCAACCCCCACCCCCAGCGCGCGGCCGCAGCCGCTGTGCGCAGCCTGGAAAGGGGGGACGGGGGGAGGGGGGGTCGCCGCGGACCCCGGCAGCCGCGAGGACTTTGCAAGTTGCCGGGGAAGGTGGAGGGGCGGGAGGGGGAGGGGGAACAAGGCGCTTCAGCCACGACAGCGAGCGGCCCGGGTTGGCGCGCCCAGCCCCACAGCGGATCATGGTGCAGCAGGCGGAAAGCTTGGAAGCGGAGAGCAACCTGCCCCGGGAGGCGCTGGACACGGAGGAGGGCGAATTCATGGCTTGCAGCCCGGTGGCCCTGGACGAGAGCGACCCGGACTGGTGTAAGACGGCGTCGGGCCACATCAAGAGACCGATGAACGCCTTCATGGTGTGGTCCAAGATCGAGCGCAGGAAGATCATGGAGCAGTCCCCGGACATGCACAACGCTGAGATCTCCAAGAGGCTGGGCAAGCGGTGGAAGATGCTGAAGGACAGCGAGAAGATCCCGTTCATCAGGGAGGCGGAGCGGCTGCGGCTGAAGCACATGGCCGACTATCCCGACTACAAGTACCGGCCCCGGAAAAAGCCCAAAATGGACCCCTCGGCCAAGCCCAGCGCCGGCCACAGCCCGGAGAAAAGCTCGGCGGGCGGCGGCGCAAACGGGGGCGCAAGCGGCGCGGGCGCAAGTGGCGCGGGCGCGAGCGGCTCCGGAGGCGCCAAGACCTCCAAGGGCTCCAGCAAGAAATGCGCCAAGCTCAAGGCCCCCGCGGCCGCCGGCGCCAAAGCGGGCACCGGCAAGGCCGCCCAGCCCGGAGACTTCGGGGGCTCCGGCGACGACTACGCTCTGGGGAGCCTGCGCGCAAACTGCACGGGAGGAGGCGCTGGCGGCGGGGGCGCAGGGAAGTCGGTGAAGTGCGTCTTCCTGGACGAGGACGAGGACGACGAGGAGGACGACGACGAGCTGCAGATGCGCTTCAAGCAGGAGGCGGAGGAGGAGGACGAGGAGCCCGCGCACCACCAGCTCCTGCAGCCCCCCGGGCACCAGCAGCCGCCGCAGCTGCTGAGACGCTACAACGTCGCCAAAGTGCCCGCCAGCCCGACGCTGAGCAGCGCCGCGGAGTCCCCGGAGGGGGCCAGCCTGTACGACGAGGTGCGGGCGGGCGCGACCGCTGGCGTTGGGGGTGGCAGCCGCCTCTACTACAGCTTCAAGAACATCACCAAGCAGCACCCGCCGCCGCTGGCGCAGCCCGTTCTGTCCCCCGGGTCCTCGCGCTCAGTATCCACCTCGTCGTCGTCCAGCAGCAGCAGCGGTGGCAGCAGCAGCGCGGGTGACGACGCCGACGACCTAATGTTCGACCTGAGCTTGAATTTCTCCCAAAGCGCGCACAGCACCAGCGACCAACAGCTGGGGGGCGGCGCGGCAGCTGGGAATCTGTCCTTGTCGCTGGTGGATAAGGATTTGGATTCGTTCAGCGAAGGCAGCCTGGGATCCCACTTCGAGTTCCCCGACTACTGCACGCCGGAGCTGAGCGAGATGATCGCGGGGGACTGGCTGGAGGCGAACTTCTCTGACCTGGTGTTCACGTATTGAAAAATGGGGTCGCCCCCAAGCCCCCCCCCACCCGCTTCAGGCTCTTTCTCTCCAGAGCTGGGTTCCCTGGGAGGAGGTCGTAGCGGTCAGGATAGAGATGAGGATGGTGATAGTGGTGGTGAAGAGGGCGGAGGGGGCAGAAAAAGATATTGATGCTATTGTTAAGATGAGACGCAAAGAAATAGTAAAAGATGATTTTTTTTTTTTTTGGTGGAGTTAAAGTGAAATTAGTAGTTTTAAATTTTGTTTCCTGCCCTTTTTGCCCCCTCCCCTTCCTTCTTTGATGGTATTCTCAAGATAGTTGCTTACCTAGTCTGGAGTTGTGATTTTTCCCCCCACACTCGACCCCAAAATGTGTTTTTGTAATTACTATTTCTTTTTCCTGAAATTCGTGATTGCAACAAAGGTTAGGGGGCGGGGCGGGGGAGGAGAGGCAGCCCCGCTCCGGAAGGCGCTGTTTGAAGCTTGGTGTTTGAAGTGGAAGACGTCTACCGCGAATCCCTCGGGCAGCACAACTGTTACCCTAGGGAGTTGGTGATTTTGTTTCTTAAGAGATCTTAAAGAACTGGTGTTTTGAACAAAAAAGGGACCATTGCAACCTTTTAAATTTTATTATGTTTGTTTTTGAGGGGATTTTGGTTTTTTTTTTTAATTTTTTAATTTTTTTTTTTTTTTTGGAGGGAGAAAACTGATGTCTTCTATGCATCCGATTCTTTAACAAAACTGCAGGGAGCTTGAAGAATGCAGACTGTACAAACGCTTACAAAAAACTGTGAACTGACGTAAGATCAGAGTTTACTTTTCAGATCAAAATTGTTTATGGTTTTACAAATGTGATTTCTACTTGCCAACTTTTTTTTTGTAACTTGTTCCCTATACCTCTTTGATTGAATACCAGACAGCCTAAACCTCAGTACAAAGGTATTGAAACATTTTTGATACATAACAGACCTCAGTCTTTTTTAAAAATTAATATATTTTCAGGCGTATTTTTGTACAGTGAAAAGGGAACATTCTTGCTGTGTTTTTTCAGTAAGACTTTCAGGCACTTCTTTCCTTTTTTTTTTTTTTTTTTTTTTTAATTTTCCTGGGTTCGTTTTCTTTCTAATTTTTATTTTTAGCATGCTGTTGGTACGTTATATCCTGGTTTTAAAAAGGATTAAAATTTTAGAATAATCCTTGCATCTAAAGGCCTTGTGGTTTAAAAAAAAACAAACTTTTTTTTGTACAGCTATAGTAGAGATTTGTTCAATATTTGTAGGTAAAGATTTATTGAAAATGGTGATATAGACCTCAGAGCTGTTATCTTAGTTTAAAGATTGTATATGCACTGTACTATAGTAGGAATTTATGTATCTCATACGCTGTGATATGTGGATGGGGCCCCAGGTGGAAGGTTTGAAACTGGATTCTCGATTTTTAGCAGAAAAAAGAAAAAAAGGCACATAGTTTTGAAAAAGTTTCTCATTTTGTGCAATATAATCTGAATAAAGTACAGACCATCTGCGTAATTTGTAGCAAATGGTGGCAAGACAGATTCAATACGCTGTCGAGATCATTGCCTGTTTTTTGTTGTTTTGACTTTGGTTCTTTTTTTTTTTTTTTTTTTTTTTTTTCTTGTGCTGGAAGTCTGTATATCGGTAATTTTAATAAATCAGCTGGGACTGATAAGAACTCGCATGGCCCATAGTCTTTCTGGAAGTCTATGGTGTGCTTTTGTGGCAGCGCATTCGGTGGCCTGACTGGTGCGCAGAGGGCAGGCCAGCCAGGCTTGGAGCGTGCTCAATAAGGAGAATTTCTTCCCGCTTCCTCCCGCTATTCGTGCAAGACCCGGCTCCTTTGCTTTCCTTTCCACCCCACCCCCGTTTCCTTTCTCACCTCCTCCCTCCCTCCCTCCCTCCCTCCACCCACCGGACGCGCTGGGCTCTGCAGCGGGTCGGGAACGCGCGGGCTTTGAGAGGCCTTGGTCAACGGGGCGCGCGGCCGGGGTCCTGAGCTCGCTGGAGCCTTGAGTTCTGGCGCGGGTTGGCTGCCGATCGTGCGTAGTGAGGTCTGCGGCCCTCTAGGTCTCCGAGGGCGCGGACGGCCGTTTGGAGTTTTGATTTTTTTTTTTTTTTTTAAACTTCCCTGCGTGTGAGCAGAGCTGTTTCTTGGCCTCTCTTGGTGACCTGAAAGAAGGGGCGGACAGAGTTCAGGTCGTTGGTGTCCACGGCGGGTGGCAGTAGGCACCCAATGATTCACGGCTTAGCCATTGTGACCTGAAAAGCGCTTGGCTGCCAGAGGATTTGTGGGCTTCAGGGGACGTCTGGGCTGGCTGCAGCTGCCAGCATGGAGCTAGGGGACCGACCTGGTTCTCTGGGCCCCACCTTTGCGTGCGCCTGGGCGCATCCGACCGCTGTAGTTCACGGGGAGGTGGGTTACTGTTCCCCTGCGCGGCGGGTGGGGAGGGAAGCAGCTGGGTCTTGAGGTGGGAGGAAGAAAGCCGAGCCAGGCAGGATGCGTCCGAGCCACCCTTCCCCCACGCCCACCCCCGCCCGGGGTTCGCCGGGTTTAGGTCTTCCGAAGAGCCGGGCCTCCTTACTGGTGGCCCTCCCAGGCCAGGTGGCTCTTGCTTCTTGGTACTGCCCTCCAGCCTCCGAGCTCGGAAGTTAGCGGCGGTTACCCATTCCGCGCGCGCTCTGCTCCATAAGGACGCTTAAACCCCACCCACCCATTTTGTCCACACCTGGCCCTGGCTGGCGAAAACGCTGGGGATCGCGCTCCCACAGCGGCCTCCGAGCCTCCCCACCCTCTTCCTCAGTGCCTTTGCCACGTCTTTCCCGGGGGGCTCGCGGAGAGAGGCGGGAAGCCCTTGGGGCCCAGTGCGCCGGCCGAGAAGCTCTCCTCCCCGGAGCTGCGGGTCCTGCGAGGCAGGAGGTTTGCAATGGCTTAATTGAAACTGGGTGCAAAAATCACTTATACTGAAGTGATTTAGAAAGATGGGTCTTGGCGTTTTTTACTGAGGTTTAGCGAGATCCGAAGGAAGCCTCCGCGTGTTCACCGGATCTTCTAGGCCAGAGGGGCCCCGCGTCTGTTCCCGCCTTACCCGCAGCTTCCCGGGCTTCTCCTGAGCCCGCCTTTCCCGGCCTCCACGCCTCCCTCCTTGCAGGACTAGCCTTGCTCCAGCCCCCACCCCGGGACGCAAAGCCAGCCAGCCTTTTTCTGCAGCGGACAGATTTTCTTCTTTGTGGCTTTCTCCTTCCTGTCGCTGAAATCAGCTTGCAGAACTCTTGGGGAAAAAAAGGGCTCACGAGGGTGTTAACAAGGATCCCAAAATAGAGCTGGATTTTTGGCTTGTTTACCTTAGTCTCTCCCCCTCCCCCAAGGCTACTCCTGTCATAGGTGGGACATTTCTTTTAGCCACGAATACTTCGACCAGCGGTTTACAGTTAATTGACCATGACTTGTTGCTGGTCAGTTTCCGAGGCAGGCCCCTGCTGCAGCTCTAAAACTTACTGCAAATACAAAACCGGTGGCTAAGGCAGATCGATGCGTCCTGCAGATCTGCAGACTTTGCATGTGCTTTGCATTTTAAATGATAGGGGATTCTTGGACATTTTCTGTGATGAGGTAGGAAATTTAAGTCGTGTGTCCCATGCCTTGATTTGCCTGGGTTTTATTATCTTTTTAAAGCTATGTGGCCGAAATTCTCAATAGGAAAATTAAGAGAGAAGTAGTTCGTTGGCGATCAAAATTGAAAACCTGCTCGAACTCAGGACAGGCACTTGAATGCCCTTTTAACAATATTTAAGGCTCTTTTGATGAATGCATTGTGAAAATCATCCTTAATAAATTCTTTATTGAATGTCTGCAATATAATATAATACATGAGGTATTCTTGCCACTGGATAGGCATCAATAATAAAAGTTTAATCGCATTTTTTGTCTCTTAAGTAAATCTTATTTTTAACTAAACATTGACAGAATATCTTAAAAATGGTAATGTGGGGGTGGGGTGGGCGTTGCTGGAAGCCCCACTGATTGGGTACCCTGCTGTTTCTAACTGGTTCACAGACTGAAGGCATTTTGGTGAGATTCCCATCTCTCAGAACTTAAACCAGCAACATCTTATTAATTCTTTAAGCTGTGGAAATAATTTCCAGTTCCTACACTCTAATATGCATCCTTTTTATCAAAAAATGCTAATAAAAGGCAGTGTACTTAACTGTGCTTTGCAAATATTATGTCTGTTTGGAATGGCTATCATCAGGCAAATTATTTGTAGAATGATTATCCTTTAGCTAGAAAAAGAACCACTGCAACTCCTGGGCCAGAGATGTTTCTTTTTAATGTTAATCAAGGGGAAGGGATTTGAATATGCATGCTTGTAGCCATCAGGATGATTTAGTTGTTTTTTTGTGAGGGGGGAGAAAAGACTCAAAAGGCAAGATTTATTTTTCTCTCTGGGAATTGAAAACCACCATCGTCTTGATACTGAGATAGTACGAGAAATGGACATTAGTTTTTTTTGTGTCCTAATTTAGATGACTTGCCCAAGGAATCTGAGAAATAAAGCAAATAACTTGCTCTATATTAGTCATTCAACATAAAATATATTATATCACTCGTAACTTTTTTATTCTCTGATATGATTAATAGTATGTATATTCTTACTTTTTTCTCCTAATGGGCATGTGTATCTTTGTGGACACTTCGGAGAGAGGGTTTTCTTAGACTCTCCAATTTATAGAATCTTTATACTCTTTTTCCTGCAAGGTCTTCTGCTTTTAACAGATTTCTAAGGCAACTATATTTGTGCTTTTTTCTTACGTGGGAAGACCAGCAAAAATAGTTTACTGAGTTGTTGACTTTATCAGTAGATAAAAACTTAAAAAAAAAAAAAAAAACATTCTTTATTGCAGTTTCAGGGAAACTTTTTTCAGGATATTTCTCAGTTATTCTAAGGGCCAAATTTTATAAAATTTCCATTAGGAATGTCAGTTTCAAAAACCCTTTGTATA